AAAAAAAAAGAATCTCATGGACTTTCTTGCCTCAATCCTCAGATCTCAGCCCAAAGAGTAGCTAGGACTACAGGGGTGAGCACCAGTACCTGTCCTATTCTTGATCTTTGTAAAACAATAAATTCTTTGGGGAAAGCAGCCTTGTCTGTCCTGTGCAACTCTGTTTTGCTGATGAATGTCCATTCCTGCTGCATATGCTGTGGGTTTTGGATTTATCGGGTGCCTCTACACCCCACAAGCCATATATACATACCACATGAATACATGCATAGAGGTACACGTGCCAATACAGAGTACACTTGTACACAATACATATATACATGCAACACACACAGACATACAACACACATACACACACATACATACCCACTCTCCAGCTCCTCCTGCTTATCCTGTTGAGCCCTAATACTAGTTATTTAGATAGCAGTGATATTTTAACAGGTTAAGAAACTTATTCTGAGCACCAGAGTGGAATGTGGAAAGTTAGGATCGGAGACTAGCACCAGCTGCCTCGTTCCATGCCTGAATCCACCGCTAGAAACCCTCTGAAATCTGTTTAAGACCTTCTTTAATTCTACACACTTTTGACATAAATTAACTACAACCATATGAAAATGTTTTATGCAAAATACCATTTGGCACATCTGTACAGTTTTTACAATGTACTTTCATTGTTGGGAAGGATTATAATAACCAAAAGTAGTTTGTCTTAAAAATTCAGTATGACAATATCGAATATCTTTAAATGAGAATAAATGCCTTAATAACACAATCTATTGAAAGTATTGGGGAGTAATTTAAGAACATTTCTCAGATCTTGAATTTGATTCAAGTAGTTCTTAGTCAAACACACTCAATGTGACTACATATGTACACACGCACACACACATACATTATATTCATATTTCCAGAACAAACTTTCGCTACCCCTAATTTTTCTTTTGTTTATTCTGCGGCTTGTGAAGTGGTTCATAGATGAACTGTCTGTAAACTCGCAGGTAGTAAAAGTAGCTGAAGACCAGGATGGACAGGAACACGAGTACCAGGACAAAGAGTAAGGACACCACCAGGTAGATGTTTGGCCTGGAATAAGAACAGTGACAGAACTCACTGGAAGTCTTTCTTCACACTTGCCTGTTAGTTCACTTAGATGTGCTGGAGCCTTGCGGGAGAGTACAGACTGCTAAGGCTTGGCGGCTGTGCTCCAGGGCTTAGGCACAGTGCGAGAGGAGGAGGAAGGGAGTGGGGGGAGAGGAGCAGGTAGATTGAGTAACATTCAGGACTCTGAGTGGTAGCAGGGAACCTCGGGTGTCAGGCAGGAAAGCCAGTTTTGAGGTGCTACAATAGCTAGGTGAGTGAGGATGTGGGCTTTTTACTAAGTTAGTGGCTGAGGAGATGGAAAGAAATGGCTGGGGAAATGCACAGGGAACAGTGTTTTGTTTTTCCTTAAGGGATGGAGACGTGAGGTATCTAAGTTGCCAGGTTGGCCTTCAAAACAAACAAAACAAACAAAAATAAACTCCTGGGCCCAAGAGGTTCTAGGTGGTTTACTCGGGGTGTGTTGGCTTTGAGGGTCAGTCAGGCGCGCATGTGCGCGTGTGTGCATGTGCGTGTGTTTACTGGGTGGCACTGCCGTTGGATGCCAGGCCTCTGCTCTTTGCTCAGGACTGAGTGGAGCCTCTCCTGAGAGTAGCTTCATTTCTTAGGTCAAACACTTTCGTGTTGTTTTCCATTTTCTGTCCTAGTACTGTGTTGGTTTTTGGTTTCCTTTTATGCCATGATTCTTTTTGTGGGTGCTATAGCCCTCTGATTTTCTTTCTCAGCTGCGCACACATAAGCTGGTTCCAGAGTATGGTTTATTTTGGACTTTAATTAAGTGCCATAACCACTGGACAGCTTGCCAGGCGCCATGCAAGATGGTGCCGTGGACACTGAGTAAAGGTTGATGTGAGCCCATCCTTGGGGAGCTAACATGGTGAGGAACTGCTCATTAACCAAGTAACGAGCAGAGAGATCTGGAATCACAAACTGTTAAGAGTCAAGAAGCAGAGAGATGCTGTGTGGTGGGTGCAAGCCACAGTAGCACGGTTTAGTCTTTAGAGGTGAAGTTGATTGTGTGCTTCCATACCTACATGTGTGGTAAAGCAGGAAAGGAAGCCATTCCATATAGAGGAAGCGCCTGTGCAAAGGCCCTGCGGTGCAGGGAGTGCTATGGACTGAATGAAGGCTGGAAGGTCCGAAGCTGAGGGGGGTGAATGGGAACAGAGCCAGAGAGTAAGCAATGTGAATCCAGGGTTTTGACTGCTTGGCATCGGGCTTGCCACAGGGTGTGCCATTTCCCGGGAGAGGGAACTTTGGAAAACAGAGTCACCAGGAGCCACGATTCATACCACCATCGCCATCTATATGGTGGGACCAGGATGGTCCCACCATGGTGGATGCAGTTAGCCCCTTGGAGGACCGAGGAAGGAGTGCAGGATTGGGAGGGGAAACACGTCCAGTTGGATGAGCCTCTGAGCAGTGCAGGAGGAGAGGTTAAGCGGGTTAAGACCAGGAGTCTGGAGTCAGGTGTGCACAGGTGGAGATGGTTGCTGGAGATGACAGAAGACAGGGGCGCTCTACCACTGAGCCACCTTCCCAGCCCAAAGTCAGTAATGTTTTAAATAGAGCACAAGAAACAACTGTCTGGAGGCAAGGGGTAGATCCTGGAGTGTTGTGCACTCCTGTACCCAGCTTGCCTCCAATCCCTGTCTTCTACTTATACTGCACCTTGTACACAAAACCCAAGACAAAGAAGCCAAGTCGCGCGAGGCTCTCCCTTAAGTGTGAACACCGCGCGGCTCTGCCAAGGACTGGTGCTGAACCCAGAGACAGAAATGAAGGCCTTCATGGCTTGTGCTCCAGATGCTTTGGCAGGAGGGGCAGTGGCTCAGGGTGGAGTGGGAAGGCCCAGCCGGTCCCTACCTCGGCTTTCTGCCAGCCTGCCAGGGAGGCGTGCTGGGGGCAGAATGGGCCGGGTGGCTCAGTGGGTTTAGAACCAACGGGATGCGTGGTGGATGAGCGGGAGTCCCTGGTCCGTACCACACGGACGCTGTGTGCAAGCCATCCTACGTGGACATGGAAATGGGACTTCACACGTTTCTATCATCTGGGAGACGCTTCCTAGAGAGCCAGATCACAACAAAGCCAAGGCAGTGGGAAACACAGCCACTGGCTCTGCAGTGAACACGTTGTGCATGTCGGCTCTTAGGCTTGGATTCGTGTCCGTGGCGCCCACGTACTTGTGTGACAGGGTTGTGGCCGCCCTGCCCTGCGCTGCCCTTCCTTCCCGCCTCTCCCGCCACCCCCACCCCCCGCCAGCCTGCGCTCAGGTCTTTACCTGGGAATCACTCCATAGGTCTCCACCGCAAATATGGTCGACAGTTTACAGAAACTGCAAATCAGAAAAGTCATACTGAAGATTAAATTAGATCACCTAAAACCTCCTGCCTGTCTCTACGGCAACAATCAAATCAGTGTGGTTAAGGCGTCATTTTCCTGACTAGGTTCAGAAGAGGAGGCTCCTCGGTGGGGCTCCATCGCTGCGAGGTGCCAGCCCCCCAGTCCCTCCTTCCGCATGACAGCGGCTTCATAGCGGTTCCTCAGACAACGGGATCATGGTCACTGCCCTCCTGGGCACTCAGGAAGCCACAGAAATGGCCAACAGCGAAGGCCCAGCGCGTTACTGCTCGCCGGAGGTGAGTGCGAGCCGAGCGCTCGCTGGCTCTGGGAGTGCTGGGGCTATGTGCTCTGTGTCCTCGTGGAAACCCTTCCTTCTAGAGGCAGCTTGGATAGGCTAAGAAACTTGCAAACGTCTGCACCGTTGTTTGACAGAGCCTGGGTTTGAGTTCAGACTTTTTTTTTAGTCCTGGAGCTTGAACTCAGGACCTGGGTTCTGTCCTTCAGCTTTTTGGTTCAACGCTAGTGCTCCACCACTTGAGCCACAGCTTCATTTCCAACCCTTGGATAGCTAATTGAAGAGCAGAGTGTCATGGGCTTTCCTGCCTGGGCTGGCTTTGAACTACAGTTCTCAGATCCCAGCTTCCTGAGTAGCTAGGCTGACAGGTGTGAGCCACTGGCCCCTGCCCTGGAGCCGTGCGGCCACTGATGAGGGCTGTCTCCTGCTGGCTGCAAGTGTCAGGAGCTCCAAGGAGGGGATCGCAGACAGCGTGATGCTGGCACAGAGGCAGGATGTGAGTGAAGAACCATTTGCGGGACTTCCTCTGCCGTCATGTGGGAGAGGACAGAAGAGCTGACGTCCATTGAGTTACTTGCTAAATATTCAGCTATGTTAGTCACTTCTCAGAACACCCTAAGATGACTGGATGGGGGGTCTACGCTTGGGAGGCTGAGGCAGCAGATCACAAGTTTGGGGCCAGACTGGGTTATTTAGCAAGTTTTAAGCCAGCCTGGGCTATTATAGTAAGACTATGTCTCAAGAAAAAAATGATAAAATAGGGCTTACCAACCCATTTAGCAAATAAAGAAGTGGATGATTTGCATAAGCCTGAATTGTTCTTGGTCAGAACAAGGAAGGAACAGGAAGAGGACACCAGCGAACCATGAAGATGGCATAATAATCTCCAGTGTGTATCCCTTTAAACAAAGCTTTGGAATATGGGAACCCAAAATAGAGCTGGCTGGGCACTGGAGGCTCACACCTGCCATCCTAGCTTCTCAGGAGGCTGAGATCTGAGGATCACAGTTTGAAATGAGTGGAGAAAGTCCATTGAGACTCTTACTTTCAGTAAACTACCAAAAAAATGAAGCTGGAAGTGGAGCTATGGCTCAAGTGGTAGAGTGCTAGCCTTGAGCAAAAAGCAGCTCAGGAACAGTACCTAGGCCCTGAGTTCAAGCCCCAGGACTGGTAAAACAACAAATCTGACAGAATGAAAACGTAAAACAGGCAAGTCCCTAAGTATACTTGGAGAGTTCAGTATGCCTCTTTCTAAATGGATAGGACCAGTAGACAGAAAAAGTGCTCTCCTCAGTCAAATAAAAATCCAGATGCTGGAATCTCTACTGCACAGTTTAGAAATGAATCCAAAGACAGGGAAAGAGGATTGTTGAGGAGGATTTCTCAGGTGTAAGTTACTGGGCTCAGAAGCAGTGTTTTGTGGTGGTTTTCTAGGCTGAGGTATCAGAAAGGAGACATTGCATTGGAGCAGGCTCTCCCATTTCAGTAAGGATGAAGGGACCCTTTACAGTGGAGGCCAAATAGCTCCAGGAGATGAAGGGGGCTGTGTTCCTTCAGTGAACTATATCTTCCATGGGAGTAGACTTGGATGCATCCTGGTGGATTATGGGGACTCTAGGATTAGAATACACAAGCAGCTCTCCAAGCCCCCACTCAATCCTAACAACCAAAAGAAACCTAATGTACAACAGCTGACATAAGCCATTATGATAGAGGACCGTGGAGCTTACCTTATTCCTACACCTGCCCGCTGGTATATTCAAAACCCCTTGATTTTATGAGAATCCTTAAGGAAGAAACCCAGGAAAACCACCTGTGCCTGAAACCTTCCCCATAGCTTTCTGCAGGGTAAATGTGCACTGGGAAAGCGGAAATGCCCAGCACTTACGGCTTTTATTTTCCCAGTGGAACCAGTCTACAGGCGGTCACTGGGTGGAATGGAGCACAGGGAAGGTGGGTGTCACCTTCTATAATTATCCCTCTATTCCTGAATGTGTCACTGGGGAAGATGTGCTAAGTGTCTTAATAGATGGTGGAATTGGGCTGGGAAGTTGGCTCAGTGGTAAAGCGCTTGCCTTGCATGCCTGAGGCCCTGGGTTCGATTCCTCAGCACCACATAAGCAAAAAGAAAAAAGCCAGAAGTGGCGCTGTGGCTCAAGTGGTAGAGTGCTAGCCTTGAGCTGAAGAGCTGAGGGACAGCGCCCAGGCCCAGAGTTCAGGCCCCACGACCGGACCCAAAAAAAAAAATAGATGGTGGAATTCCCCACACTGAATTCTGCAAATAGCCCCATGGAAAAGAGCTATTAGGAGTGGAAGAGTAAGACCATGGGAAGCACACATGGGCTGTAGGTAGCTCACCTAGAACATCTGCCTCGCGTGCGCTAGCCCAGGGATGGAGCCTGGCACTAGAAGTAGTAGAGAAACAAAATCAAGTAAGACCACACTCCATTCCTGGGAGGATTGCTGAAGCAGATCTTGTCGGCCAGAGCGACGCACTTCCTAGCGTCATGGATGGCTCTCTATTCTCTTTTCAGGACCGGAGTACTCATTTTCTTATTTGGGGAGCAGCTGGTGGAGTCCATCCTAGAACTTGCCCTCCATCCAGGCCCCATCCTTCCCCATCGTTTGCCCCAGTGACTGTTGGTTTCGAGGCACAAAGCCTCGTCCCTGGCCTCCAGTTCAGAACAACTCCGCAAGGCCGCTGCAGGCCCTGTGCTCCCCGGGAGACCCGCCCAGGGCTTCGCCAAACCACACTGCAGCCCTGAGCACCTCTGCTCCCCAAAGCTGGTGATCACAGAAGACTTCTCAATACACTTCCGACAGGCTGGTCTTCAGCTCAAAGTCCACTTCCTAGGGAATCTGAGTCACAAACTGAGACCCAACTTTTGTCTCTCCCTTTTGAGTTGACAAGACTGATGGATCTGGAGAACGGCTAGGAGATGGTCGTGAGATCATCAATGGCTTTTCTCAGGGCAAGTTGCATCACTGAAGCAAATCAATGCAAACTGCAGCAGCCATGAATGAGGTGAAGCGTTCCCTCCGCCTTCGTCCAGTCAGCGGAGAAGGCGGAGAAGGCTGGAGGCCGGCTGCTCCCATGCTCCCTGTGTTAGCTACACCACATCCACTTCAGGACGTCACTGCCAGGGAGCTTGCTGCTGGACATCCTGCTGGTCCTTTATTCGGCAGGAAGCATTGCAGCCTGCAGATACAAGTTCCATGCCCTGCGGAGCACACGACGCACCTTCCAGAGTGTAGACACGCTGCTGCTCGGGCTTCCGCCCAGAAGAGAGGAGGAGGCTTATTTTAAGTTTTTGCTCCAGTTTGGATCTGAGGATAACCTGCCACACTTAGACATGCTTCTTTCCATAAATATGCATGACAGGTAGGTCCTGAGATCTAGGACTAGGACTAGGCTGCCCTTTCGGACAGCCCAGGCTGTGTTGACCCCCACCAAAAATCAAGGTCTCTGAGTTACTCTTCACTGGCTGAAAGTTCCTTCTATTGTTAAGCCTCAGTTCCTCCTGCTGCAGGAAACTTCCTTTCTCCGCTGAGCCCTCTTCCCTTGGAAAAGAAGGATATCCATGGGAAGAAAAATGTAAAACTAGTGCTTGCTTCGGCAGCACATATACTAAAATTGGAATGATACAGAGAAGATTAGCATGGCCCCTGCGCAAGGATGACACACAAGTTCATGAAGCGTTCCATATGTTTATGGAACCAACCCAGATGGCCTTCAGTAGATGAAGAAAATGTGATATATGTGTGTGTGTGTGTGTGTGTGTATATATGTATATATTTGCAATGGAATTCTATGCCTCCATCAGAAAGAATGACATCACCCCATTTGTTAGGAAATAGAAAGACTTGGAAAAAATTATATTAAGTGAAGTAAGCCAGACCCAAAGAAACAGGTCTCATGGTTTCCCTTATTTGCAATATCTAGTATATGTCTGGGACAAGCAGAAAAGGTCAAAAGCTATGTACATATGACCAGATAAGATGGTGTTAAGTGAAATGAACCCCAAGATGGGGACACAAGCAGCTTTTTCTTTCTTGCTATTGTTCCTAACCTATTTATAATATACCATGTGATTTTTTTTTGTTTCTTTGTATGTTCCTCCCCCATGGTAGGTACAAGCCCTCTTTTCACTGTGTTTGATGTTGGTGCCCTGCATCTTGTATAAACACTTCCGTAGCTTGGGGAGGGGAAGAAAAAACCCAAATGCTTAAATAGGGATACAGGTTGGTCCATGTAACAATGAGATGCACAAGACACTATGTTGAAAAATAAACCAAAAGTTACAATTTAGGTGGGGAGGCGGGGAGAGGGGAAGGGAGAGTGTAGTTGAGGTGGGAGGGAAGGGAGGGAAGGGGAAAAACAAAGGAGGGGAGGCGAAAAACAAAGGAAATGTACTCATGACCTTGCTCACTGTAACCCCTCTGTACAGTATTTTTTTTCAATAAAAAACATTTTTAAAAAAATGTAAAACCAGAAAACAGAACAAAATTATTGATTAAGGGCAAAACCTCTGGGTAGAGAGAGACTCCAGACGGAATGGACAGTAGTCAGCCTTAGCTTTTTCCATCCTTGCGAAAAAGCAAAAGAGCATCTCTCCCTCTCCTGCTTCCCAGATCGACAGCTTTGCAGTTCATCACGAACGTTGCTGACAACCGCAGACAGCCTGGAGAGTTATCACGGGTTAAACTGAACTATGGTGTCAGTCAGAAGCTTGCTCCCACCCAAGGTTGTATTTTGACATCTGTAATCCAGGAATGTTTTGACTTTTGTAATCAAGTATCAATAGTCTCAATAGCATCAATAGTATCAGTTATGTTGACCAAGTCAAGATTATGTTTTGCTTATGCTCTTGTGACTCAAGGCTGTTTAGTTTCTGTAACTGCTTGCATGCCTTGACAAACTTGACCTACGTGTAAGCCCTTCCTATAAAAATTCCCCAAGAAAAGGAAAACAGGGCTGCTCTCCCAAGCTCTGCCAGCAGGAGACAGTCGCCACTTAGCTAATAAAAGGCTTCTAGCCAGGCCAGACTGACTGAGTGCTGTCCTATCTTAGAGGGAAATCGGAGTACTACGCCGGTGATGGGAACACCACTGTGGTTTAGCAGATCTAAAGGTGCTTGGTGAGGCCCTGGTAGATTAGGGAGACAAGGCAAGCCTGTCAGATGTACGTAAGGTCAGAAGACGGCTCTATGGTTTTAAAGCAAATGCAAGCACCATTTGTCAAAAATGGTCCTGAGAAACAGCTCGTGGCTAAGGCCTTGGTAGACCCTGCGCTGACAGCGTGGTCACCTAGACGACCCTGAAGCCTGGGCTGCCTGTTGTCCAGGGAGACTTATCTCCAGCGCAGGGGAGGCAGCTGACTGCTGTGGTTAAGTGCAGAGTCTGGTCTTGGGGGGCATGCGTGAAGAGCTGAGTCACCGCTCAAGCTGGCTGGACACGTGGGGCCCCACAGGACTCCGTTGACTGCAAAGAAAAAAAGAAGGATGTGCGGCTGCCCTCCATGCAGACGAGGGCTGTAGCTCCACCCAGGAGCGGCCCAGACGACTGAAGGAGGAAAGAAGGCCTCCCAGGATGAGGGGCTTTCCGTGGGGTCTGTTTTCGAGGAGACGGCCTGTGGCATCATCACGGACATGAGCTCAATGTCTGGATGATGTGGCCAGGTCAGGACGTGGAAGAAGTAAGAACAGATGAGCAGTTTTAGGGGAAAGGCTTGCCGATGAACTTCTTGGAGCAAGACTAAAGAATTAGAATATCTGAGTCTCACGGGAATGTTTCTCAGAAGAGAAACCACCGGATGCTTGTTCGGTGGGCCCATAAACCCTGTGGCCGAAGAGCCCGCATCTCCCCTCTCCAGAGCTGATGTCCAGACACTGTCCAGCTCGCCTCCCTTGGAGAACCTCCTTAATCCTTGCAAAGGATGTGTATCCGGAGGCCTCAGACTGCCGCCTGGTGGCCGGTTAACCTCACGTGGAAGGCATGGCGATTCTTCCTGTGACGTAACCTTACCCTTTCTGTCTAGCGTCTGCCTGCAACACTAGCGAGAGACGCTCCACGTGGTCATGTTCCGCCACGTCCTGTTGTTTCTGACCAAGGAAGGCAGAGCTGGAGCTCACTGGCCTCGAGCGGCGGCGTGCACTTCCAAGGCTGCCTTTTATTATTAGGTAATCATACGTTGCTGGTGACCTACCATGCTCTCTGAAGTTTGGGTGATAAATTATACAGTGATGGAAGTCATAAAGCAGGCGTGAGAGGTCGCGGGGGAGACTGTAAAGTCCTACAATGAGGTCAGTTCTCTGAGCCTGTGACCGAGATAGACCGATCCTTCCCCACCAGCCAACCCGAGAGGAGGACTGGGAGTGGGGTCTCTCCCTTTTCACTGAGGAAGACTCGTACACGAGAAGGAAGACCGTACTTGTTCTGCAGGGCTGGGTAAAGACGCCGAGAAGCACAAACCACTAACTACTGTCATTGGGAATGGCCGTCTCTCTCTCTCTCGCTCGCTGTCTTATGCTTGGACTTCTTTGCCAGGTGTGAGACGGCATGTGGTATAATGACCATGGCTCTGGTTCATTAGGCAGAATTCCATTTTGACAGGTGGACTTGGTTTTGGAGTTGTTGTCTGGGAGTTGCAGAGCTTCCAATGAACCAATGATAATGCAGTCTGGGATGGTCATTTGTTTCCTTTCAGTTCACTGATTTTCTCTTCAGCTGGGCCTTGTCTCTTGCTTAATCTTGTGAGACAACATTACATTGATTATCGTTTTCATTTCCAGGAGTTTTGTGTTCCTTCTCTAAATTTTCTGATAGTGTCTGACTCTTCCATTACATTTTCAAAGCCTCCTTTAAGAACAATCGACACATATTCATACCTATTTTATAATCCATATGTACTAGAGCCAGGCTGTTGCAGGAGGTTTTTGTTGTTTCTGTTGGCCCTTATTCATGGCTTTGTTTTTTTCCTCTCCTGTTTTGTTTATTGAAATGTTTCCTTTGGGAATTCTGTGAGGTTGCATTTCAAGCGCATTCTTGCAGAGGGGAGAAGCCTTTGTTTCTGTTGAGCACACATAAACTGGCACTACTTTAAATTTTGCGGTCAATCACTATTAGCATGAGCCTATCTAACTTTAAATCCAGCCTCAAATCTAACTGAGGGCAGATTTGTAGTTTTTCCCCCGCAGGGAACCAGGATTGATTGGGAACAGAGTCCTGCATGTGTGACACTGTACGTGGGTACTGGACGGTGGGAAGGAAGCCTGATCTTCTGATCACCTCTGACCCTTTGTGAGGGCTCCTGCTTGCTTTCCTATAGCAGATAATCCAGGTCAGTGACCCCTGGGGGTAAACGATATCTTCAAACTCCACCAATGTCATCCAATGGATTTTCACGTCCACCCTCCTCCCCACCCCGCCCCAGTGCTGCGACTTAAAGTCAGGGCCTGGGCATTCTCCCTTTGGCATTTCACACAAGGTTGGTGCTCTACTACTTGAGCCATACATGTATTTCTGGCTTTTTGGTGGTTAACTAGAGATAGATTTTCCTGCCCAGGCTGGCTTTGAGCCATGATCTTCAGATCTTGTCTTCCTCAGTAGCTAGGATGACAGGCATGAGCTAAAGGTGTCCAGCAAAGGAGATAAATTTAGGGGAGTTGGCGATGTTTAAGTAAGTTTCAGCCTACAGTCTGAGAGCCTTTTGTGCTCTCTAGGGGTGAATGCAAAGTCCCAGGAGGTTCCCTGAAGCAACAGAAAAAGCAGAACACAGGAAAGAAATTCTCCCTAAGGCCTGGAGGCAGTAGCACTAGAAGGAAAGTGGAGAGTCTAACAAGTGTGTGAGGAAATAAAGATTCATTTGACCTAATGTGGCAAATGCAGGGAAAGAGGGAATCAACATGATTTCAAGTTTTCCAGACTACATGATTAAAATAATGGGATTTTGGGTTGAGAAGGTGGCTCAGTGGTAGAGTGCTTGCCTTGAATACATGAGGCCCTGGGTTCGATTCCTCAGCACCAAATAGGCAGAAAAAGCCAAAAGTGGCTCTGTGGCTTAAGTGGTAGAGCGCTAGCCTTGAGCTGGAGAGCTGAGGGACAGCGCCCAGGTCCAGAGTTCAGGCCCCACAACTGACAACATAAAAAATAAAGATTTTATTTGCCCACCCCAATGAACAGGGTAGTTTTTCTTTGGGGGTTGGTATGGAGGTTGTTGTTTTGCCTTTGAATTTGTTAGGACAATGGAATTCTAAAGCTCGGATTTCCCATGAAGGGTTCAAAATCCTAATTGGAGCCTAGAGGTGGAGGGGACAAGACGCTGAGCATACAGAGGTAGCCAGCTTTCTGTAGCCCTTCCACGCATCAGCTAAGCGACCTTCCACGTTCTCCACCCATCTTCCCATCTCTGAATCGCCCTGGCGCCTCTGGACTTGTGGACAACCCCGGCAGCGTGAGAAAGCCCTGGCCTCCCTCCTGTGCCTCCGCCCCCTCCTGGCTGCTGGGGCAGCTGCACAGGGCTCCCCACCTGCTTGACCCGAGCACCGCAAAGACGCCAGGGCGCGGTGCCCTGCTGTGCCCCTCACACATCCAGAATGTAATTTCAAATCGCAGACAATGTCCTGTCTCCCCAAAGAATTGCTGATGTGCTTACTAGAAAGCGCAAGGAAAACAGAGATAATAACAATTGGATGCTTAGTTGGCATCAAAATGAACCAAGAAAACAACGCTTTTGTTTTGAGGAATTAATGGTAAAAATTATTGTAATAAAACACGTCTATTTACCTAAAGTTCGGATCCAAGACCTTCACACGGAACACATACATCCCGATGTGGTCCGTCGGCCACAATAAATGGTTATTGTTAGAAATGTTGATGATCTCGTAGGGCTGATTTAAGTCTCCAGGTTTTCCAACGGCATAGGAAAAACAGGGCCTGTAATTCTGAAAGAGGCCAAGGCCACACTGTCAGATCACTGTCTGACTTCAGTGGTACACAAAGCTAGATCCCAGCTATCTATCCTGGAAAACTACTCGGGGCTGTCAGAGCTGTTCCTCTCTGCTCGCAGCTGCAGTGCTGAGCAGCGGCCCTGGGTTAAAACTGGGCCGAAAGCAAGGGCTGCCGTGTTTTGCGCGTGACACGGGGCTGCCGTGTTTTGCGCGTGAACACGGGGCTGCCGTGTTTTGCGCGTGAACACGGAGCTGCCGTGTTTTGCGCGTGAACACGGGGCTGCCGTGTTTTGGGCGTGAACACGGGGCTGCCGTGTTTTGCGTGTGAACGCCCCGAGGCTCGCGGAGAGGAGGGATGCGGGGTCAGGGCAGGCCCCGGCCCTCCTGAGCCCCTCGCGGCTCTCCGTGGGGCTCAGGGCGCCGTCCCCTCCCTTCACGCGGACGGGCCTGAGCTCCGGGCCTGGGCGCTGCCGGCACCGCCTGAGCCACCGCGCATGTCCGGCTTTTCTGCTTCTGTGGCGCTGGGGAGTCGAACCCCGGGCCGCCTCCCAGCCCCGCGCCTGTCCAGTCGCGTGGTTAAGGCTGCCCCGTGGACGGCGGGCTCCTCTCACCGGAGGGCCGCGCCCACCGCCCATCGCCACGGCCCAGCCCGGAAAACCCGGGGGTCGGGAACCCAAGGAGGGCGCAGGGCAGGGTCTCGGACTCCCGGGGGTCCGGGCGAGGTGGGGACGGAGGGGACGGAGGCCAGGGGCGCTGTCTGCCGCAGCCCCAGGGCCGCTCTGAGCCCAGCAGCCAGGGCCCGGTCCCCCCGCCCC